CGGACTCAAACTCAAACGGGCGTAGCTGATATTTGAACTGTTTGTGATGGCGCAGGCATTCAAATATCAAAATTCAAAGTGAAAGTTGGGTTGACCAATGACCAATGTTTCTTGATTCCATTCTATTAGTTTAGGCCAAGTTTGGTTGGTGACATAGACACCGGAGCTGAGCTGAGCAGCGGTAGTTGGGATCCGCGGTGTTCCTCTTCCTCGTGTTCCCTTCCCTTCCCTCGGGGTAGGGCCTCAGTACACTGACCGTCAAAAAAGAAGATTGTCATTCAACAAAATCACGTGTCGGTGTGGTGTGGGCGTGTGGCCAAACTCACCTTCTTATTTCTCTTTCATTCCTTCAATCTACGTATTTAATTAAGTAATTAAAGGGAGAAACAGCGTATTCTGATTGGCTTACGAATTGACGAAATGCTGATTTCCCTATTTATTTATTTATTTGGCTTACGAATTGACCAATTGTTCATCGGAGGCATCAAGAAGTGTTGCAAAAATTTCAAGCCAAGAAGAGGGTAATCAAGCTGGGGATTGGTTAGCTAGATTAGGTTCAACAGTCTCCTTTGAGTTCTCAACCGAGGTCCCTTGCCCTTAGGACTTGAGCTTTATTTGTGCAGTGGACAATTGGGATAGAGCTCTTCTCTGTTAGGTGTTTCCCCCTTCTTGCATCAAAAAGAAAAAAAAAAATTAAGTTTCAAGCCCAGAACCGTTTAGGTGTCACTTCGTTTTTGGACCTATGAGATTTGTGGGGTGGATTTGATTTGTATCATTTTTTTCTCAGTCCACATAACTCATGACCCATCAAATTAGGCAGCTTCTGTCAACCCATAGAGGCCCCTTTTGTATCATTCCACTGTTCAGGACTCAAGCTATACAGAAAGATATGCCATTTTTAGTTTTTTATCGAGCCTTGCTGGTGATCATTTTCAACCTCTGGCCTGCAAAACCTTAGCCTGGCCTGGAAATTTCGGGTTTGGGCCTAGGTTTTGTGTTTAGGCTCAGGCGAGGCCCTCAATATATATATATATATATATATATATATATATATATGTTATAAATTTTTAGGCCTGGGCCCAGTACTTTAGGTTCAGCCTGACCCACTTATATTAAAATATACAATAACAGAGACATGGAAATTACAAAATTGTCCCAACTACTTGTTAGGGCATCTTTCAACATAATTTAAAATGTCAGATTTGCCCTTTTAGACTTCTCTCCATCATAATGAATTTACAAAATGAAATTATTTTACTCTTTCTTAATCCGACTTAAGAATTTTTTTAGTTAAAAATTAAAAGTTCTTTTGAGAGTATTTTAGTAAATCTCCATCTGAATAATAGACATAAGGGTAAAATGGGTATTTTCATAAAAGTAATACATTAGGCCAACATTTGTTGGCACAATGATGGAGCGGAGTAATTGCAGGATTTTTCAAAATTACAGGGAGGTTTTTGTTAGAATGAAAAGGTTTTTATGATTGTCAAATACCTCAGGGCAGGTTCTTATATTTTACTCTATACAATATTTATACATATTTATGTGTTTTTTTATGTTATATTAGAAAGTTATAAGCGTGGGCCTGGGCCCGGGCTATAGCACTCATCATTGGTGTAAAGCCCAGTCCAGTCCACGATCACCCAACATTTCTCCAAAGGAAGAGAAAGTGAATAATACATGTAAAGAGTGAAACAGGATACAAATGCAAGGTCTGTTTCAGTATAATATATTAAATAAATTAATATTATATATAATGTTTTCAGTAAGTTTATTATAATTGGGTCCTGAGAATCGATTGATTTGGTTCTGGGTCCTTAATATTTTTTATTGGGTCGGTTCCAGTTCTATCTAAACCTAATCCAAACCTGATCCATTAACAGCCCTAGTGGAGATTTGGGATTGAATCCCGCCTACACCAAGGTTGGGGGATTATTATTTATGGGTTTGAAGCATGGTTTTTAAAACTAGATTGGACCGGACGGTTATACCGAAAAAAACTGGGGATTAGTCAGGTGATCGGTTTTGGTTTTCCCCAAAACCAGATTTTTGTCAAAAAACGTTGATTTGGTTAGCAAACCACTGACCCAAGCGGTTAATCTGTTCAGCCCGTTCAACGGTTTTGACTGTTTTTTAATTTTTTTAATTTTTAAAATTTTTGTGTTAAAATGAGCCATCTGTTCAGTTCGAACGATCGGACCATTAGACTCGACAACTAGACCCCTAACCAGTTCGTTGTCCAGGTCAATTTTAAAAACCTTGGTTTGAAGGATGGGATATCCCAGCTGGGTATTGGCATGTGTCCCTTTTATGATAATGTGTCCCACCAGGTCCCACAAGGTTAGAGGCTGAGGTTTTTAACTTGCCCTATGAGAAAGTGTTATTTTCACATGCTAGGACTTTTGATATGGTTTGTTGTATAAACTGGTTATCACAAAATGATAAAAAGGCACGAATTCCTTGAAGCAAAAATTGATTGCGAACAAACAGAAACTTATGTTTGGAAGGTGGTGCAAATTGTATCTGCTTCAGATTTGCACTGGAAACAAACACAGCTATACGTTTGGTAGAGTGTGTTATGGTGTATAAGAGTGGGACGCGCAAAGAGTGTTTTTTTTGGGTAAAATATAAAAATCTCCCATGAAGTTTCTGATAATCATAAAAACTTGGGACAGAAAATGTCAATAGTTATGAAATTACCCCGGTGTCAATGACAAAGAACTGATAGTTAGGTTCAGAACAGATCTTGACAATAAACGGGTTTTCTATTCTGATTTAAATGATGAGTCGGAGAGAGACGATAAAATCCCCCCGCAAGGAAATTACCACACAATGCCGTCTCCTGCCTGCATGCAGGATTCAAGTGGTCAACGGTTCTCTGTCCACACACGGCAATCTTTGGGTGTGACGAGCCTAAAAATGGTTGGCTTGAGATTATGATGGATCGCCATTTAGTTGCAGAAGATGAGCGTGGTCTTGAACAAGGAGTGTTGGATAACCATCCAATGAGCAGTTTAGAAATTCTTTGGTACGTTGAGCAGTTTGGAGATGTTGCACAAAAGGGGCATGTCTCATATCTCCCATGGAAATACAAGCTTACAAACTAGAGTTGAGGCCCCAACAATTGGACCAGTCCAATTGAAGATAGGGGTGTCAATTGGACTGGATTTGGTCTAATCCAGTCCAGTCCAATGTGAGTCCATTACAAATGGACTTGGTCCAATGAATATATTGGACCGGTCCAGAGACTGTCCAATCTGTTCAAATTCTTGTTAATTTAGATTGGTTTCAACTCAAATTCGGTCCATTGACACCTATGTTTTTATCTTCTAACAATGGACCAGATATTGGCTCAATCCAATATAAATTCATTATGGATGGACCAGGTCCAATCCAATATATCATATTGGTCAGTCCAGTCTGTCCAAATTCAATTTGTCTTATTGGTCTGTCCAACCTGTCCAAATAGATTTTGATTTGGACAGAATCCACCCAAAACCGGTCCATTAACACCCCTAATTGAAGATCTTAGAGTCACCAACTTTATTCCCCCTCTCGTACATTGTCTGACCATGTTAAAGCATAGTTGTCAAGGCGACAAGGTGTCCTTTGAGGTTTGCCTCGCCTAATTGCCAAACAGTTTTGTACTATGTATTATAAAATACTTTTTTATTCTTTATTTTTGACATTATCATTATAAAATAGGCACTATTAAACTAAAATTTTCATCTTTTGTATTTATATACTAATTTCCTTTTATTATTTTCTTATTTGTTAGGGTTTAATCAATACAAACATAACCAATAAGGAAGAACTTAAATTTTTTCCTAATCAACACATTTTCTACTACTACTTTTTCTTTTCTTCTTTTCCTATAACAAAAATAAAGGTTCAGCCCCTCTATTTTTTGAATTTTCTTTTCCTTTTCTTTTTCTTCTCATGAATATGTTGATTTTCAATACTTTAACATGAACTCTATACTTTTCTTATGAAAATTATGAATAATTTTTAAGGAAATATGGTTATGATATCTAGGGAACTACCCTAGTATTTATGTTTTCTACATAAAAAGAAAAACCCATCCCCTAACCTTGCCTTGGTGCCTTGAAAACCATGCATTAAAGATGTAGGCTACGAGTCTTGTATACTTGTATTAGTGAGACCTTGTCCAAAAGATTGCCAACAGACGATTCTTGTGAAATGCATGAATTTTTTGGGGAACCTAGTAACCTTTGTTACTGCAAAAGGTTTGGAACACATTGGAAGTCATATCTACAGGATATGTAGTAGGAAAAGAGGATAATGAGGATAATGAGGTGTGTGCCATTCCTCCTTGATGTATTCCTCCTCTTCGAGGATAGGAAATGAGGGTAAGAAGGTCAATAAGAAAGGAAAAGAGGATAACACGGGTATTTCAGTAAAAATAGATGTAAACTAATTTGCAAAAGGGTAAAATAGGTCTTTGAAAAGAATTGATTCATAGGTTTAACATTTTCCATCATGATCATTAACAGAAAGGAGGTTTTTGTCGAGTTCTTTAAAGATTCAAGGAATCTTTTTACTAAAGTGAAACTATAGGGGAGATTTTTATGATTGTCAGAAACTTTAGGAGAGGTTTTGTAATTTACCCTTTTTTGTCTTTTTGATAGATAACACGTACAAAGAGTTTGAGTGAGACAAATATACTGTGAACAGAGGAAAATAAAAGGATTTATATTAGAGAGAGAGAGAGCAAAAATAATTACTTTTCCTTCTTATCATTTTTTTTGTCCAAGCTATAAAAATCACACTCTAGGGCTCAGTTTGGAAAAAGTATAAATACAAATATGTAGAGTGCAAAACCTTACATTTTCTATTATTTTGTATGTATTAGTACCCTACATATTTGCATTTGCACTACTTCCAAACTAAGCCTTAGTTCCCGATTTCCCAATAGCACCGCAATGTTCTAACATCTCCAAGAGTGTAAAAACAGCACCTTGTGTTGACAAAAATGACCGGAGAACAATTCTCCTCTCCCAGTTTCCCTTTCTCTTGCAGTCTTGCTCAGAAAAATAAGTACTACGACTTCCTCTTCTGGGAACATGAGAATGTGAGATCATAATGTACATAAACCACCAAAAAAAAAAAAGAAAAAAAAAAGCCAAAATGACTATCGACAAAGCCCAAAGACAACCTCTGTGGATTTATGCTAACTACTACAATTTACATAGGGCAAAATTAATATGGAAACCAACACCGCACCCCACATTTCAGACGAGCAACAACAGGTTTCCCCACAAGGACTGACTTTAACCTTACAAACCAGCTGGAAAATTGTTGATTTGTCCTTGTTCAAGAACATCTTGGTTGTTCACTTTGTAAGCTATTCGTATGCGCATGGCTAGAGGTTTCTGACAACAGCAGTATTGAAGAATTCAGTGCTTGAAAACCTGAACTTTGCTAATATGATCCAGCATCTAACCAAATGAAATACTACTCCACGTGGTTACCAATGATGTGGTACATGCAAACTTAAGCTATAACAATTTACAAGTAATTCCATATTTTCACAACAAAGATAATATTATAGAATCAAGCTTTCATGTTTCTATAGCGCAATGTATTTATCTTCTATTCTTCTCAGGATAGCATTACCAGGAGACCCCAAGACAAAGGGGCTGCTTGACAATGGCTAAAGTGAATGACATTGATTTGTCTTTTAGGCCCCGTTCGCTTTTCGGTAAGTTACTTACCCGGGTAAATGCAATTACCTGGGTAAGTTTTTCCTGGGAAACACTTACCCAGGCAAGTGTATTTACCCATGTTCTTTTATTTCCCAAGTAAAAAAGAGGAAATGACCATTTTAACCATAAAAATTCATTATTAAAAGGGGCATTTTTGTCCCATTCAAGTGTTGGAAGCTTTCCCCCCAAGTGGGAAACTTATTTACCCACCTAGGAGATGGGTATCACTTACCCGGGTAAGTGATACCCAGGAAAATAAACTTTACCTGGTCCCCACATTAATCTGAAAAAAAAAAAACATGGGATTCTTGGTCAATGGGAACCAAAATCCCATTGACTCCCCCCTCTCAAAATCCAAAAAAAGAACGCCCCATTAATGTAACTTTGTAAGTTTTTTAAGGAGGGTGAGCTCCTTAATGTCTGAAGCTGAAGTTGGGTTGATTACTAAATCCTTGAATCTTTTATCATTTAAATATTTTATCTACTAAAAGACAAAGCAATATATCCCTCAGTTCAGTCACTTCATCTATACCAAATGGCCCCTAAGCTGTCAAATTGCCTATAGCTAAAAAAGTATAGCATTTGCCAGCACAAACACTAAATATCATTCAATTGTAAACTTATTTGTCACGTATTATTGCTTCAACATGGTTTCTCTTTTTCTTGACCCAAAAAAAAAATGTTTTTGCTTTAAATGTGCTTTGACTTGGGTACTAACAACGAAAAGCCATATAAACTCCTATTAATAATAACATTTACCAAAGGATTTGTAAGCTGTAAATCTCACCCAACAACAGTAAAACAGAAAAAAAGAGAAGCCTTAAAATAGCAAGAAAAAGAGAGAAGATAATGAAGGAAAGGAGAGAAAATTGATAAGGAGGCCAAAAAAAACTCTCCAGCTGCCTTGGTAGAACATTTATATACTGATTAGAAATTACAATGAAAAGACCAATGTACCCCTGCTGCCCTAACAGTGGTGTGGTCCCAAATAACTTTAAGAACAACTTAAAATTAAAACACCTAAAGCATGCCCGTTAAATCAAAAAGAATAAAAGGACACTAATAAAAGACTAGAAGACAATAGGCCCGACCCATAAACAAGCTGGCCATACACTTCAGCCCATTACATCTGCAAACTCAACACTCCCCCTCAAGTTGGGTGTAGATATTAATCATACCCAGTTTGCCAATATCATTCTCCAATTTAGTTCTTGCAACTCCCTTTATAAATATGTCAGCAAGCTGTAAGTGAGAAGAAATGTAAGGAAGACACACTTCACTAGATGCAATACTCTCTATAAAGTGTCTATCCACTTCTATATGCTTAGTCTGATCATGTTGCACCAGATTATGAACTATACTGGTGGCATCCTGATTATCACGATAAAGTCTCAATGGTTCTTCCATACCCAATACTTTCTCCAAGCAATGACCTTAGCCAGAGTACCCAAAAACACTATAAGCCATGGCTCCATATTTTGCTTCAGTACTAAAAAATGCCAGCACTAACTGCTTCTTACTTTTCCAAGACACAATGTTCCCACCAACAAAGGTACAGAAACCAGAAGTTAACCTCCTATAATCTAATGAACCAGCCCAATCTACATTAGTATATGCTTCCACCTTCATATTCCCACGATTTCAGTACAAGATTCTCTTGCCAAGATGCTTCTTGAGATGAGCTAAAATCCACCCTACAGATACCAAATGGGTGGTCTTAGGAGCATGCATGTACTAAACACACTAACTGCATAAGATATATCTGTCCTGGTCAGACATAACAGCTTGCCAACTAGTCTTTGATAAACCTGCAATATCCTCCAGGGCATCACCTTTCGTATCCAAAATCCTATGATTCTATTCAATAGGAGTTCAGCAAGTTTCACCCTCAATTTTCTTGTCTCCTTCAATAAATCTAAAACATATTTCCATTGGAAGACAAAGATGCCATGGGTTGACCCAGCCACCCAATTCCTAGAAAGTAGCACAAACTTTCCAAATATTTCGTTTCCAATTCCTTATACAAGAACTCCAAGTGATTAATCTTGGCTACATCATATCACCACAATCACATCAACATATGCAATCAAAGCAATTAATAAATCACCCTTTCTCCTAATGAAGAGTGTATGGTCAGACTATGACTATGAGTAGCCAAATTTTAGCAATTGCACCCTTGAAGTCTTGAACCTATCAAATAACGTCCTTGGCAATTGCTTCAACCCATATAAAGATTTCTTCAGCCTAAATACCTTGCTACCTTTGCCATTAACATAGAAACTAAGTGGGAGAGTCATGTAAACTTCTTTTTTTTTTATGAATAGTCATGTAAACTTCTTGCAAGTCATCATTCAAAAAAGCGTTCTTTACATCAAGTTGGAACAATGGCAAGAATAATGAGACTAATAATGAAAGTTGAACACTTGAAGTCTGATGGAATTCATCTTTGTTACCAGAGAGAATGTCTCTAAGTAGTCTACTCCATACACCTGGGAATATCCCTTTGTTACCAACCTTGCCTTGTACCTTTGAAACACCCACTTGCATCCCATTGGAGTCTCCCCTTCTAGCATGTCTACAATCTCCCTAGTTTGTTTTTTTTCACAAGGCATCCATCTTCACCTACATCACATCCCTCCACTCAGGTTTTGAAAGTGCTTTCTAGACATTTCTGGAAAAGAAATAGAAGAAATAGATGTGAGAAAAACCTGTACTAAGGAGAAAGGTTTGTAATATTGCCAAAACACCTAAAATATATATCTTTTTTGTTAAAAAGAACAAAAAATGCAGATTAAAGAGAAAAATATAGAAGGAAAGAGAGTATTGCAGATTGTAGAGTTTGCAAACTTAGCTATCGATCAAGACTCGAGAGATTTAATAATAGATTTTTTTGTCTTGATACCTTTTTCCTCATTTTAAAGCTACAAATATATGGGAGAAAGAGTGTGAATCATAGAAATTGAATCCTTGAGTAGCTAATCCCATCCATCAGCTGTAAAACCCAAAAGGCTTGAGCTTTGGAAGACCAAGTATGTGAGCTTTAACTCCCTTCAAGCTTCAGGTATGTAACTTGCTATTTTTTACATTCAAAAACCAAAATACTTCTGTCCATTGTAGGCTCCTAGTTCACTCGCAGTTTGGAGAAGAGAGGAGAGAAGAGAAACTGAAGTTTCCCCCCTTCTCTTTGATTCTTTGCATTTATAACTTAAGATTTAAGTTTTTAATTTGTAAATTGAAAAAAAAAATTCTTTGTATTTTTTTAAATTAAACGGTTGAGTCCTTGTCTAATTGCTAAACAGTCCCTATGTAACTACATTTAAACCCTTCATTAATTGTTATTGATTATAAATTCCTAGTTAATTATTACTAAGTGCTTTATTTTCTAATAAGTCCATTATTCTAGTTAATTATAAATAAGATCCTATAAATTTATAATTAAATACTTAAACCCTTTTATAAGTTTTTGCCAAAAAAATTATAAATGTGAGAAAAGGTAAATGTATATTTATTTTCATTTTTTTAAATTTCCAAATATCTTAGCGAAATTAGCGATATATCCCCGACATTTTTCTTTTTCCTCATGGTGAAATGTCTATCGACATCTAACTTGTGAACCTTGCTTGGGAAAAAGAAAATGGTAAGACAAATATTGAGAGATAGAATGAGCAGTGGATGTACGACGCTTGTCCTAGTGAAGAGCAATTGGCAGATCTAAATCATTAATAATAGGGAGAGGACGTCCAGTAGTAATGGAATCATAAATGACAGTTTCAGTGAGATCAACTAAAGCAACATCATCAAGAGGTAAGCTAGGAACATACCACTAGTGTCTAGGTCTCTAGAGGCAATGGGAAGTGGTTGAGATTGTTCTTGAAAATTGGACCAACCGTCATACACCACCAATGCTTGAACATCTATAATTGCTGCCCAGCTTCATCATTAGAAATACAAATAGGAAGAGGAAGAGGAATATTTGAAATCCCAATCATCACATCACCATCCCTATGACACTCCTCCGAGTGGAGACACAAGAGAAATATAGAGTGGACTCTGAAAAAGTTGCACCAATGGGAACAAAGTGATCACTAGTGTTGGAGTCATAACAAATAGCTCTTCTAATGTTGTGCATACCCAAGGAACACACACCTCTTAGTGTTAGGGTTATGTTAGATATTCGAAGACATAAGCGAGTTTGATAGATATTCTTGTGAGGGTTTGAGTGACAGAAGTTTTATGTATTTGAGGAATCAAGGAAAATAAACAAATCACACAAGGTATGTTATTCATTTTCTCCTCCTCCTCCTAGAACAAAAAATAGGGGCATACTAGAACAAAAAACAAGGGCTCCTTCTTCTTCGTCTTCTTTGGGCTCCACCCCTTCTATTTCTTTTTCTCTTTTTTTTTTTGGAAGAAAAACAGAGGCTCTTGGAACAGAAAACAAGGGCTTTCTTTCTGGAACTAAAACAGCGGCCCCGCCCCTTCTTCTCCATCACTCTGAGAAGATTCTTTCGTGCTTTCTTTTTTCCAAGACAAGAATAGGGGCTCTGACCCTTATTTTGCTTCTGTTTGTATGACAAAAATAGGGGCCAATCCCCTTGTTGTCCTGTATTTTGAGACATTAAGCGATGCTTAGGTGGGCACCTAGGTGACTAGGTGACTAAGTGCTCCCCTATCACCTAGGTTCACCTTGGTGCCTTGAAAACTATGCTTGGTTTTATGAGGTCCAAGTATATGAACATGACATATACACCCAGACACTCTCAAGGGAACATGAAACATGTCATCATTTGGGCAAATATGGCTGAATGGAGTTTTGAATCACAAAACCCGACATGGCATTCTATTAATCAAGTAAATGGCAGTTAAGACAACATCTCCCCAAAACTTCTTAGGAACATAATGTTACATGCTTGACCAATACACCAAAAGCCTTAAGACTGTTGGAATGCATCAAGCCAAACCACTTAACCTATTAGGACTGTAACATACCACCATGCTTATGTAGCCAAAATCTCAATGACTTCACTTGTTTCTTTTATCACTAGGATAAGAACTTTATCACTAGGATAAGAACTACAATGTTTTTCCAACTGATAGGTATCACACTCCAAACTTTACACTTGGACCAACTTAAACAACTAAGGAAACAGAGAATGTAAAGAAGTGGCAAAGACTTTATCCCAGATCTCATTAGTTGTATTCAGGAACATGTAATTCTTACCGAGTGCGGCTTGAATTAAGCAACCACAGCATCACCCTAAAATTCTCCTAAACCCATTGTGAATGAGAAGCATTCTTAGAATCAGGTTCTTTACTGTCTCCTGTAATATATCCCAGTTTGCCACAATCTCCAACTCCAATCTTCAAAGATGACAGATTGGGCCGATTGTAAATAATTTGATCAATCCAATCCCACAGTAGTGATGGTACTACACTTCCCATTAAGCTCACACTATCACTACCTGCCTTTTAATCATCCCAAGGAACATCCATGTTTTTCAGACACACTAGAAAGCCTTAAGCAATTTATTTTAACTTCCCAAGATGAAACCTCAAGAACCAGTCCTAGAGCCTTTACCAAAATACCTGAAAAAAGAAATCTGACTTCCCAAAACAGTCCAAAACACCCTTCTGCTTAGTCGATCTCAATGAGAATACCAACGAAAATTTTCCAACTGAGCAGGTATGATCAATCCCTTCTAAGAGAAGAAAAAATAGGATTGATCCATTTATATTCACTGATTCTTACTCTTTCTAGGATGAAATCCAAGACCAAAGCTTGGGAAACAAAACTCCCTAAAAAACTCCAAGAATCAGGCAACAAAAAACTGGTGATCAGCCCCTTCTATCCTCACATGCAGTTGACCAATCCTATAACTGCATGAGGACAACCTCAAGAAAGAAGAAGAGAATGAAGGAGAGAAGAGAAATAATTTATAGGGAGGCCAAAAAAATTTCTCCAGATGCCCTAGTAGAACACTTATATACTGATTAGAAATTACAATGAAAGGACCAACATACCCCTGCCACCTTAACAGTGGTGTGGTCCCAAATAACTTTAAGAACAACTTAAAATTAAAACACCTAAACCAGGCCCATAAACCCAAAAAGAATAAAAAGTCACTAATAAAAGACTAAAAGGCACTCGGCCCAGTCCATAAACAACTGGGCATACACTTCAGCCCATTGCAACTTCAAACTTAACAATAGGACGAAAGTATGTTCTTCTTCTTGTTAAATGAGCTGTAATATGAAAATATACAAATGCGACTCATTTGATCCATGTACAGTGATCAAAAGTACAAATATTTGACTGGCAACCAGGGACATGTCATATCACCACATCAGAGTCAAAACATATATTTTAACCTCTCCACCCCCACCAAAAAAATAAATAAATAAATAAAAAACAGGAAGCCATTAAGATGAGCTGACATTTCTGTTGAAGCCCATTGCCTACAACTCAGTGATTTAAAAGGCGCGCCTCAGGCAAGGCGCATTTCAGGGTATGCGCCTCGCCTAGGTCCTAGGCGCAGCCCTTTCAAAAGGTGCACGCCTGATGTGCCTTGCTACAACTCTATTCTTGGATATTTTGTTATCCAAGACAACATTAAGTTCCACTTATGTAAAAGGGAATATGTAGTTCCCTGATGTTATTAGCTAGATACCTTTTTGCCCTTGAATTGAAAGTTTAGAATTCTACTTATGTTGTTCATTATAGCCCTTATAGAAACTTAATCATACGCTCATCAGAGGGATCAAATATCCTAAGAACCAGAAAACCTTTCTGTTTAACTAGCAAGTGCCTAAGCAACCTTGTTCTCTCAAGTACATGTTTAACCCTCTAAAATTTGAAATGGTAAATAGTTTTTTTTTTTTTTTGAAGGATGGGGAAGATCCCTAGAATTGGTACAGTTACTATTTTTAAAGGATTAGCAGTCCATCCATCTCTTTACATAAGATTATTAGATACCACAGAAGATCAGCAATATACTTTAGAGTTTCACCGTCAAATGGAACCATGCCAATAAAGGAAAGACCAAAATATACCTAGAAGGAGAAGGAACACAATGAGCCTGATTTATAGGAAGGTTATCTAATATTTCTTTCTCTCTTGAATATGTGGAGAAAGATATAAGCTACATGACTCTAAGATAAAGCAGTTCCAAAAGAGCCAAGCATATAATACCTGTCCATGTTGACTGTTGGTCACACGCAAACTTTGTGTCACCGACTCACTACCACTTGCAGGTAGGGTATTACTGCTGGCTGGATCTAAGTGCAGTTGGACAAACTGTGGATCGAGAAATTGAATGTCAAGATGGTATTTTGCAGTAAATATGAAAGAAAACTAGTAGACAAGTAGAATTTTTTTCATAAATAGTAAATCATCAATCACTTGACCAAGTGCCAATTGTACCTAGACATTTCTAAGAGGACAACCTGGACAAGTTCTCAATTCTTAAATTGCCCACATTAAGTGCAGAAAGAAATAGAAAGGCACTGAAGCTAGTACTGCAACTTACATGGCAGTTGGGCATATCCAAATAACACTATCAACAACCAATTAAAAAGCAACAAATCAATTAATAATTTGAAAATAGCATTGGTAAGCAAATATTTACAAGGACAGAAATATTGTGCAGAGTTCATCCAATATATTATGGGATGTTATTTGCCATATTCCAATGTAACTTGGCAAAATGTTTTTCTGCATTAATTTCCTGTTACTAACAAGCCTGAGAAATTCTCTATGTAGCGCTACTTCAACTCTCGATTCCCCACAATGACATCTTTCATGAGATTCACATATTTGATATTTCCATCAAAACTTGAAACTTTAGGATTCTTTGTGAGAACCTTAAATCTAGCCTTAAAAACATCCTCTGGATACAGAAAATCCCCATTGTTAGGGCCCATTGGATGACACCATGAAAACATTCTAAGCAAGATTTAAGATGTCTATTTCAGTTGAAATGCTCACCACTTAAAAATGGTGAAATATGTTGGAAATATCAGAAATTACATATAGAGATGGTAAACATTGTAAAAATTAACCTATGAAAATATTTATTAATTTTTTTTTAAAAGGTAAGGTAAATTTATTAATAGAAATCAGAACCATACAAAGGACCTCCCAGAAGGGAGCAAAGACTGAGAACAGCCTCTCAGCTTACATTACAACTCAAATATACTTACAGATCTTAACTGAGACCCCAAGACCCTAGGCTGGATGCCTTTCACACCTTCAGACCAAGACACTAGCTTTCCCACTGCACCAGACACAAGACAGCCCACCTCTTTTTTCTTATTCTGAAAGATTCTTCTGTTTCTCTCTGCCCATATTGAACTGATAACAGCTGCAGGGATAGCCCACCACACACTTCTAGCCAGCTTAGAAAGACCTAACAAATCCCAACTCCTTAGCAGATCTGAAACCTGTTTTGGCATGACCCAGGAAATACCTTCCGAAGAGAGAAAATGGTTCCAAATTCCAGCTGCGAAAGGGCAATGGATGAAGAGGTGATTGTTGTCCTCCTCTACTTGCCCACACAGCTCACACAACATGTTTTTAATCAGAATTCCTCTTTTTTTCATATTCTGTTTAGTTAGATTTTTATCCAATACCACAACCCACAGCAGCGCATTCACTTTGAGAGGAGGAATCTGAGTCCAGATTCTAGTAGCAAGAAAGTTATCCAGTCCTCCACTAGCTAATTTTTTGGCAAAAGAGCTTACAGTGAATAGTCCATCAGCATTCCACTTCAAATTCATGAATCTTCTTCCAATGGGTTCAGAACTTGACTAGTAAGCAAGTCCAACAGGTTCACCACTTGGTCCACTTCCCAATCTTGGAAAGGTCTTCTGAACTTAGGGCTCCATGCAAGACTATTCCCCATCAGCTCACAACAATCTGCCACCATTACATCCTGATTCTCTGCGAGTTGAAACAGGTGAGGGAACAGCTCTTCAAGGGACCTATTGTTACACCAGTTGCCTTTCCAAAATTTCAAACGAAGACCTGAACCCAACTTAAGGGACAAACCACTTTGAACCAGAGGGTAGATTTCCATACTTTTCTTCCAAAGAGAGCAACCCAAGGAAGGAAAGTTCAAAGTAGTTATCCAATCCCCTCCATCTGTTTTATACTTGTCTGCCATTAAAGACCTCCACCAGCTAGTTATTTCTCTAGCAAATCTCCAGATCCATTTACCCATTAGAGATTTGTTAAAAGTCTTCAGACTTCTCACCCCTAAGCCACCTCTTTCTTTCGGAGTACGCACCTGTTTCCAGCTGACTAAGTGTATTTTCTTTTCCTCCTCCCAGCCCTTCCAAAGAAAATTCCTTTGGAGACTTTCTATTCTGCTCGCCACTTTGGTAGGGATAGGGAAGAGAGAGGAAGTAGGAGGGGAGGTTAGACAGAGAGCTCTTCAGTAAAGTGATTCTACCCCCCAAGGAAAGATATTTAGGTTTCCAGGATGCCAATTTCCATTCCAATCTTTCCACCACCGGATCCCAAATTAGAGAGGAAGAGCATTTAGTCCCCAAGGGGAGCCTTAAATACATTGTTGGAAGATACCCAATCTGACAAGCAAGAGCTTCTGCCAGCACTTCAAGATTCTCAACCTTCCCCACAGGGATTACTCTACTCTTGGCCCAGTTAACCTTTAAACCTGTTACCACTTCAAACCAACTTAACACCCCAAGCATGATTTCCAATTGACCTAGATCTGCATCAATAAAACACAATGTGTCATCTGCAAACTGGAGTAACTGCACTTTTTCCCCTCCTGGAACTGATTCAAACCCTTTCCATAAGTCTTCTTCACTAACTCGGTGAACGAAGAGGGACAACACCTCCATTATACAAATGAACAGCAGAGGGAAAAGGGGGTCCCCTTGTCTGAGACCTCTAGAGCTTTTAAAGAAGTCAGCCGACTCACCATTGACTAGCACCGCAAATTTGGGGGAAGAAACACAGACTTTAATCCAGTTCCTCCATTTCTGACCAAAATTCATCTTTTCCAGTGCCAAATCCTAACATTTCCAATTAGCATGGTCATAGGCTTTTTCCAGATCCAGCTTACAAATCAGCCCTTTACCTTCCTTTCTTGAGTCTATCAACTCATTTTCCACCAGGACACTGTCTAACATCTGCCTTCCCGGCACAAATACTAATTGATTCTTTGCAATCACAGAATTCAGCACTGTTTTCAATCTTTCTGCAAGAACCTCTGCCAGAATTTTATAGAAGCTGTTTAATAGACTGATGGGCCTGAAGTCTTTAATGTTAGTTGCCCCTTCCACTTTAGGTATTTCTTAATATTTTTTGGTATCATCAAATAGCATGCACTTTTAAATAATTATATCATTATAAAGGAATAAAAGGTATTTTTAAAATGATTACACAATTTCAAGACAGCCACTCCCTCCACTTAGAAAAACTATACAGATATAAAAAAAAATTATTATAACATTTAGTTTAGTCTTTGTTTTTCAAACAAAGAAATACTTTCCAAAGAAAGATCAATTTTGATTATTCGATGTGCCCTTTGTTTGTGGCAGCTCTGTACCCACACACCAACAATTGGAAAAAACTTAAAAGAACTCCTTCACTGCCTTCTTTGATTTTATGTGGCAGCTTTCTGTCTATCTATATAGAGAGAGACTGGGCCGAATGGGCCCTAATATTTGTTTTATGTTTAAGCAGTGTTTATTTACTTTATGTGTTAATGGCCTGTTAATTCCTTTAATTTCTTTTAAGTTATTGCTTAGCTGGCCACCCACTTAAGGGCAGACATGTAATTAGCCTAATTAATTCAGATTAATAAAAGATTAGTGAAGGGAGAGAGGAAACTATCGAACTCTCTTCTCCTTTCTCTTCTTCTTCTCCATCTTCTCCTTCTATTTTGCTGTAATCTTCTTTTCTCTCTTTCTTTTCAGCTATAATCAGTATTTTCTATCAGATTTGAAGGACAGATTTACATCTTTGTATCAAAGCAGTTCTTCCTCGTTTTTGTTTTTTGTTTTTTTTTTTTTTTCCAATCCCTTCGATTAGAAGAGTGTATGGAGAGATAAGTTCCTGATCAATCAGAGCATTGTTTGCCTAGTTGGTAGAGAGTTTGGAGAGTTAGAATCTGGCCGAAGATTGCCAAGAAGTGAAGCTGTTTTTTTCTACCCAAAACCCTAGCCGACTAGAGAGTTTTCAAGTTACAAGTTAAAGAGAATGATTGGGTGTGGAGCTCAGGGCTTGGAAGGTTTGTTTTGACCCCCAAAAGTGCGCGGTTGAGATTTGAAGAAGGTTGGGAAGCTCTGGTAGGAGCAGCTACCTCTTCTCTCTTTCTCCTCGACAGCCGGGTGCAGTGAAACACTAGTTTTTGAATCCCCTAGTACTGGAGTAACCTCGGTTAGGTCTATAAAGACTAAAAAACTAGTTTTTTTTTGTTTGATCAATGGAGCAATCTGGATGTGAAATGAAGCAGATGCCGTTATCCGGGGTTGGCTGGTAGATTCCATGGTTTCAAATGTCGCGAAATTTCGCTAATGTCGCCCGACATATGTCGATGTCGAGGCTCACCGACATGAAAATGGATGGTAATATAAAAATTACATTATTTCGGTCGACATTTTCTATATTTCGGAAATGTTAACCAAACCGGTCCAAATAACCAAAAAAAAAGAAAGTTTTTCCTATTATGTTAATAGGATGTCGACTAATGTACATTAACAATATAATATATTAGTATATTCTATTAACATAATACAATATATTAATATAAATTATTCCATCAATAATTTCTATTTAATATTTCAAATAAAATATTTATAAAAAGAATTAACAAAAATAAAAACAAAAGAATAAATTAATTACTTTATAATATAAAACATAAAATATTTATTAAAATCAGAAAATGTTTATTAAATTTTATAATAAATCATATTCTAAATTTAATATAAAAAAT